GGCAGGGGTCACTGGTTCAATGCGGCAATTTGGACCTTTGATCCCATCCGAAGGGCACATGATCCGATGAACTGGCCCCTAATGGATTGCAGTTTTTCACACATCGCCCAGCTGCCTTGCGGGTACGGTTCTGCCTAGCCGAAGGCTCCGATTGCGGATTCCTCAAAAACAATTCACTTGACTTGACGTGGGCAACCTGGCAGTATTCGGCCCAAATGGAACGATTATTGTACCATGACGTGTGTGAAATATATACGTCGAGAGTATCGCATGCAAAAACGGCTTCACAGAACGTGGTTCCACGATATACACTGATAACTTATCTTTCCAATGAAACTCAACAAGATCGATACAGTTAGGCAGTGCTTGATAGCTTTTTCCTTCAAGCTTCCTTTGATATGCACACGGCTAAATGCACCAATTAAAATGTTCGCTGTGTTCATCACAAGACACTGGAGTGTACGGATCAATTTCATCTTAGTCTACACAATCTGGAGCCCGGTTTCCGGCGATGGTAAAGCGGTTCAATTCGCAGTGACCGATGTCCTTTGGATCCTACGATCTGAAGTTCGAACCCCGCTACCAACACCCAACCTTGGCGTTAGGCAGTTTTGCTGTCGTCCGTTTTAATAGTGGGGCATTATGTGGTTCACCACCGAAACTCCACAGGCTTAGATTGGCGGTTTCCATGGGTGAACAGTAGGTCCTCGTGATTATTGGGTTCACTCTGTGTGCTGTTCATCACTGAACAGTATAAAAGAAAAAAAACAAGATAGACGGGTGTGTAATTTGTACCGGTAAATTGGAATTCTTTGGCTCCGATCAACAGTGGACGTTCGGGATACGACGAATTCTGTGGATGATAAAATCCAATGCTCGCCAACTTTCCTTGATTTGGCAGACAAGCGCACCATAAATTTATTGCCGGAAGTTCAACAGGGTTTCTGGTGAAATGTCCCAATTGATCCCTTTCCTCGTTAGATATTTTTTCTTTATTTTTGATTTACTTCCTTTTATTGAATACACAGTGAAACAATTTTCAGGAAGGGGGAAGCGGCCAATCAAAAGGATGCCATGGGGAAAGTCAGGCGGTGGTGGTGGGGTCGGGCATACGTCCCCCGAGGTGGTAATTTGATGACGTTACCATCGGGCCACCACCACCGACAGCCTCATCCCACGCCGGTTGAACACACAACCACGATCTTTCACTTACCTCCAATTACTCGCACAACACACACGCACTTCGCAAACTAATCCAATTGGCACATTTGACCACTATTTTATTTTTTTTAGTACACACCAATGTGTGATGAACAGCAGACGGGACGGACCTCATAGGCACGTAGACCTACTGTTCAGAGATGATAACCGAGAACCTAAGCCCCGGGACTTAGAGTGGTGAACCACATATCCCTCAGCATCTCTAACTAACGACAATCCTCATCCCTTTGGGCCCCAACATTGAAGGTGGGCTGCACCAACCGAAGCCAAAGCTGAAGCCAGCTTCCTAATACCTCCACGTCAAGTTATGGTTTGATCGCCGCGGCACTTCTTCCAGCCTTGACCGGCACGTGCAAAGAGAGCACGCAAAGGTAGTCGATGGGCAGGCATACGCAATATGTGGCCAAGTCATCGGAGGCGATGTAGAGCGATTACCTCTATTGGAGAACGACTATCCGCATCCAGCACACGACGATGAACCTCGTCATTACTCACCTGGTTTTCTCATCCGACACGAGTATTGCTTCAGAGACATCGGTGGTCGAATACGGAAAGTCGATAAGCATCCTCAACGTGGAGGGGCCAGGTCTCGCAACCGTAAAGGAGAACGCTACTAACCGTGGCGATGAACACCCTTCCCTTAAGGGACAGTCGGACGTCATGGAGCGCCACAGGTGTTGCAGGTTGGCGAAAGCTGCTCTAGCTTTCGCTATTCGTGATGAGATCTCCTCCCCAACACCCCCACCAGCCACGATCAAGCTCCTGAGGTACTTAAGGCTCTCAACTACTTCCAGCTAATCACCATCATCATCATCGTACAGCAAAATACAGTGAGGGGAACTTCACCGATCGCTGCCAAACTCGCAATGCATACAAGGTTAGTGGTAAAATTTAAGGTGGACAGGGATTGGACCTACTTTGAGGGAGGGGGAAGGAGGTGAACCTCTATGGTAAACACACACAGAGAGTGCACAATCGAACTCTGCATACAAACCGCTTCAAGCATTCCGACCTGATAAGAAACGACAAAAAGAACGCCACTGTTATCGGTTAGTTGCCATATCCTTCAAGGTCTCCAACCAACCAGTTATGGAGTCTTCTGTACCCCAACCTGTAAGCCGAGAGACACCTACTCTACCTAAAGGCTCTGTCTCTGCCAAAGGTGTTTCAGTTCTGCGTATGCTGCTCTAGTCTTGGAAATGCGAATGACTCTCCTTTGCTGCGTTACCGTCATTGATCACACAACCACCTAAGTACGAAAAGCAATCCACCATAACTAAATCTTCGCCATTTGGTTTTAGAAGGATCAAATCAGAGCTTCGCGGTCAGCTGAGTCGAAGGCTCCTTTCAGGTCAAGGAACACTGCGATCGTTGACCGACGGTGAGTATGACGCAGTTCAAGGATCTGACGCAACGTAAAAATCTGATCAATACATCCACGGCCAGGCCGGAATCCGGCTTGCTGTTCATGGATGTTAGTCTCTCTTAAAGGCGTCAGACGTTGAAGTATAACCGAAGCTAGCACTTTGGTGACGATCGGGATCAAACTGATCCCGTGGTAGATTTTGCAATCGTTGCGAGATTCTTTCTTGAAAATGGGAAGGATCAATGACTCGTCCCAAGTTGAAGGAATGCGCTCTTGCATCTAAATGTTGCGCAGTAGCGTAGTAATAGAGGTTACAAGGTAATCACCTCCCATCTTGAAAAGAGTGGCAGGGAGCTCATCCGGTCCTGCTGTCTTTCCTCACTTCAGAGCTTGAATGCAAGATCGAACTTCTGCTTCTGCTGGAGGATCGCATGACACCGCCCACGGAGCTTCAGTTGCAGATGAAGTAGCCTGGTTAGCACTAGGTCAGCTGAACTGTTCACTAAAGGATTCTGCCAGTGATCGAGTCGTTGAACCCTATGGTGAATAGCTTGTCCCCTCATATCACAGACTGTTTCACTAACTGCAGTTCGCCGACCTTCCGTATTGCGTATCAGTCAGAACAGTCTTTGACTATTCCCTGATTCAGCCGCTACTTCCATTTCACTAGCTATTGTTGCCCAGCAGTTCTCACGGTTCTTCTTGAGGCTCTTCGTGAGCTGACGCCGTAGCTGCCACCTAACTCTACTTTGATCCTGGCAGGTCGGGATTTGTCGTTTTTTCTCCATCAAAACTACTGACTCCTGAAATATCCAATGTCTCCTACGGGTTTGAGGCTCAGAACTTCAAGCAACATTTGATGCGGAATACATTGCTCACCTAATCTGATCCAACTTGTCATCTATATCACCATGTTGAGGTGTGCTTAGCTCACACACCAGCCCTGATTCACAGCGCACACGAACTGCTGGAACAGATAGTCGATGATGAGCTGTACGAGTTTGCTGAATTCGTCGCCGGCCAGTCAACTGGAGTGAACTGCATTAAAACTAGTGCATGGTCAGACTCAACGAAGGTGGTCCAATAGGAGCTACAATTTTGCACTGAGCCACGCCAACGGTAACTTACTGCGATGTGGTCGATTTGAGTTAGCGTGCCAGTTGAACTTGAGCGCCAAGTTTCTGTCCGTTGAGAGCTGTGTGGGAAGTTAGTGCTGGATAGGAACAGATGATGGTCTGTGCAGAACTGAAGAAGTCGATCACCGTTATCTGTTCTTTGGCTGAGCAGGGCACAACTACCTCCTAGACAAGCTTCTGATGCGCTCAGTTTTTCAACCTGCGCGTTGAAATCACCTACAAGTACAACTTCGACTAATCCGAATGAGATCGGTGAGTTCGTTGTAGAAGGCGTCCTTTTGAGTTTCAGAAATGGAGATGCACTGCACATAAACGACTGTTGTCGGGGATCCAATCGATAAGAGAGGACTCCGCCTTGTTGCTGAGTACAATATCTAGCCCGCACTGACCCACTGAGCGGGCTTCGTCGTCGCCTGATATACGAAGAACATATCTCGAAGACAAATCTGGCACGCTCAAGTGGCTTACAGTAGTAGGATCCTGGATACGAGTCTCTGACAAGCAGCAAATATCGATCCCCAAGTATTCCATTGTTCGAGCTTATTGACCTAAATGCATCATGGTCCTCATGTTAAAGGCCCCCAGATTCAGTGATTGGCGAGGCTTTAGAATCTGCAATTGGTTTCGAGATACATTACCTACAGTGCTATTTGGCAACGATCTTAGGCGAGCGATATACAAGTTGCTTGAAGGACTATTGCAGATCAGAAGAAGCGGTAAAGGGATAGGGTTGGGTACGGAAGAAAGAGTTAAACAAAGTTTGGGATATCTGAGCAGTAGCCCACTTATCACTACCCACCCCGCTCGATGCAATGGGCAGCGCCGTCCTGATTATCCTGCGCGACCACCGATGCAGTATGAAATTATTTTTCTTTTGTGTATGCATTGGGGTTTGATGGACTGATACTGCTAGGGTGTCCAGCCACTAAGCAGGAGAACGATTAGGGTTCTCGTCTAAAGCCTTTAGTTCTAACAAGAATCTAACCACAAGGTAGCGAGTGGAGCAAAGCGGAGGCCCATTTACTTGGATCGATTATTCCTCCACCATTTTTTACTGACTGAAACGTCAATTCCAGTCGAACCCCCAACCGCTCCGTTTCTACACAGTACGCCTCTAAAATGATTTCTCCTGTTAGAACGCATGTTTCACTGCGTAATAAAAACATGACGGACGATGGAATGAAAAATCTGTTACCTCAGGAAGCCACATTACATGGGGATAAGACCGAAACGATAAGCAAACGGTAAGGGTGAAACACCTGCACCAGTTGTGAGACTTACTTTTTCAGTTGCACAAATCCTTCGGTTTGGTTCTGCAGTCCGTAACCCAAAGCGGTCAATTCTCTGTGCAAACAAATTTCACACGGGTAAATTTGGCATCATTATTGAACCGGAAGCAACGATAGGAGGAGGGGGGAGGGTGAGAGGGGAACAAGTGTAGAATTCGGGGGAAGAAAACAAAACGGCTGTTTGACACAGATACAGGCTCCGATAGTGTTGGACAGTGACGGTAGATCGTGAAAAAGATGATCACAATCAGCTCCACTTTCAACGGGTAAAATGTTTGGATAAAACACTGATTACACATGGCAGATTGATCAATATAATCCAATCAGATTTCCAATATTATTCGAAAGCAACGAAACTGGCAGTTTGATCAGTTGAACAGTGACCGAGTGGGCAGTATGCTTGATTTCCATTTTTGAGGTCTCCAGTTCGATCCCCAGTTGGGTTGATGAAATCGCGCACTGACGATGAGACCCAACCAGGTCGAAACAGTTGTCCACTGCTTCCCAGGTTCTCAGTTTAGTTGCTTTTTACACGACAACATTCACTGTATAAACTGACTACATATAAGCACGAATCCAAAAGTTCCGTAAAACTTCGAACAACCTTTCGAGCTCAATATCTATCGTATCTGCCAGTCTACAACCGAAATTTGTCCCACGATGCGCTTCTCAACGATTCCAGTCAAAAGACAATTGCAAAACAGAGTGAGCGTTAATTAGAAGTGTCAGAAAACTCCGTTGAGTTATTGGGAACCGTACCATGTGTATAGGGTTGCGTAAAATCTAGAATTTTCCCGAATGGAAAATATGAGAGAACCGACGGATCTAGTAACATCGAGAAAACACCAACGATTTCCGACGGCGGCAATTGGTCCAATTTCATATACCATTGAAATTTAGGTTTCCCTAATAATACTTGAAGCCCACAACGCAGAGCGATCTCTACTGACAATGACTTTTCGCCCACGAAAGAGCTGTCGGTTGAAGAATGAATGTTGTGTTTCCCCATTATGGCACACTATTACTCATATCAGCTGGGTTTATGGTGTATGACTGACTGGTGCTAGTTAGGAAATATCAAAGATTTTTAGTCGCTCGGTGAATCGGGACAAGCCGGGAAAACTTGGGGATTCGAAGCATAAGAGATTGGCGGGCTTCCAAGGTTGTCATTAAAGAGATTAGGACTAAAACGTAAGGTCGGTAGTGTTGTGTTTGGTCTAAGCGTACGAATGGCACGAGCGACTCTTGCTTAACCTTCAATGACAACGCGGAGAGAGAACACAGGTTGAGACCACAGTCAGCGTGTATTCTTCGATAAGTTATCGATATGCAAAACATATAGACTAATCGTGCATTCGAGAACGGCGCAGTGACGCACCAATCAGATTGTGACTTGACATGTCGATTAATCGATTGGACAAAACATTGGTTGACACGTTCTGTGATCATCTAATCAGGTTCAGCCTGTCTGGAGCGTTGGGAGCGTGCGTGTGGCCTGACTCGGAGGCGTGCGTGGGGTCTGACTCGGAGGCTCGCGCGATCGGACGGGTTTCTCCGTCCTAACAGTTAGACAAACTGGAGTTGAAGATAAGCCGGGAGACAAAGACTTTTATTCTTTCGTAAGATTCAAAAAAAACGGAACCAGAAGAATTGCAGATGATAGAAGAGTTTGAAGGACAGAAACCGCGTGAACAGTTTTTACAAGAGAAAACAATTTTTGGTCACCGTTGGTAGAAGCCAGAGTCTCAGCCTTAAAGAGGATGAAGCACTACTTAGCTCTCTCTCCCTTTCTGGCGAATGAGCCATGGTTGGAAAAAGCATGAAACGGTGGCGAGATGTTGGGTTGGGTGAGTGGCACCAAAGATGAAATACTGAGTTTTTCAAACGTACAACACGGTTTGATGCATGATTAAACTTCTGTTGGGATTAAGATTTGTTGGGTTCGGAGAAGAGTAGCATGTAAAGATACATAACTTGAAGAACAATCTTAATGAGGTCAATGATGTGAGGTCATTCACCAATTTGATCGCGGGATACGGATGGGGAGGTTGAGTAAATGGCCCAGGCTGTTGACTACATCGAAACCTAGGCTTCGCGTACCATAATTGAAGTGTTTCAGGAGTGCAACAGTCATTCCCTGTTGTGGACCTAAAAATTGCCAATAATGGTGATTTTGCAGTTGGGATCCACCCCGATAACCGAAGAAATGTTGGAAGAAAGAATGTTGAAAACTAAACGATCGTTGCAGTGAGGGGAATGGTAGAAACTCGCAGAGAAGCATCTTAATGGTGAATACGAGTGCAGACATCGGCTGAAAGAATAAAGTAGTTGGGAGAGTGAACCATCAGGGACAGACTTATTTCGATCAAAAATAAGGTCAAGGAAAAAGACGTGGAGAAAGTGGAACTCCTGGTCAAAATTTCGAATTCAGCGACGAACGTTTATAAGAACATGGACATCGTGATCTGAGTTGTGTGAGTGGATGCACGCAGGACAAAGAGAGCGAGTATTCATTCAGTTTGTACCGTTCAAGAATGATGAGGGAAAATCTGCTACACAACCCTGGAAAATACAGTAATAAACGAAATAACACCTTGATAGATTGAGTGTAGTAGTGAGCCAGGCGATATCGGGTCTGTGCACCAAAACTAATAAGTTCAGGGCCTTGAGTGGTTCACCACTCCAGGTCCAGGGGCTAAGGTTCCCGGTTTCCATCATTGAACAGCAGGTCCTCGTGATTATGGGACTTAACCCGTCTGCTGTTCACCACACGAAAGCGTGTAATAAAAAAGGTAAGGTAAGGACGCTTCTGTGGAAACCGGTTATTCAACCCAGTTGTTTGAATGGCATCACCGATACTGATAGCTGAGGATGACAGATGTTTTACTATCGCTGTCAAACATTTAAATGTAAGCAGAATAATCTTTTCATACTGAATTATGTAGAAGTACTATCAAACATTGTTCAATATCAGGGAGAATCCATTCAGATAGTACTTATTGTGTTCCGATGTGACTAACTACCCTGGGAACACGAAGGAAATTCGAGCTCAATCTACCAGCCAAATAGCATAAATAGGTAAAAGAGTATTTAAAAAGCATTTAAAAAATTTGCAAACCTTTTCAGAGCAAAATCCAAATGAAGGGAGGGAAGAAGGCGATATGCATTTCGAGAGCACAGAACTCACTTCGTGATGATCACCTCAGAGAGAACCTCATTGTATGATTTCTGACTATCTCCATTGAACTGTACCGAGCCTTCGACTGGGACCACTTTGACAGCCACAAGCTCCTCCTCCCCGGTCGCAAGTGATTGTTGTTTATCCTGAGCTGCACTCAGATGAGCGGGACAGCGAAAAACTTCACCAAAACTGCCCTCACCAATCTTGATCAAATGACGTCTTCGGCTGAGCGAAAAGAGAGTCAAGAAGGGGTGAGTAGAGAAGTCTGAGATCCGCTACCATTACAGTTGTTGTTCTCACCTCAGCACCTCAACCACGAACACAACACCGAGTGTTAACAAAAACGGGGAAAACGAAGGCAGTGAAGCTGAGTAGCACACCCAAACGTTATCACATCTGGGTTGGGAAAAATGAGCACCGTTGTTTCGTGAGAGAGAAAAACGAATGTGCCAGTGGACAACGTATTTGTGAATATGAGGATCGACTTACTAAGGTGTGAACACATCAGAAAATTTCTTCAAATCAGTCTGGTTACAAATTTTCAACAGAGTCTGTTCCGAATCGCCAGCTGCGTACAATTCCTGAAGGGAAGATAGGAGAACAGTTGGAGATGGGTTTTACACCAATATTATCGGTATTCACCACTGTTCTCACAGTTCAGCTGATATGATTGTTCTACCGATCAAAGTAGGACACAAATGAGGATGAAGGGAAGTGGACTTGAATGCATCAGACTACATCATCATCATCATCATCATTGTACAGCGTAATATAATGAAGCGAACTTCACTGATCGCTGCCAAACTCATAATGGGTACAAAATAAGTGAGGATGTGTAACGAGGACACGGGATTGGATCTATTTTTGGGGACGGGAAAAGAAAGCGAACTTCTATGGTCAACACACAGAGTACTCAGCCCAACTGTGCATACATACTAATTCAAGCATTCTGGATTGATAAGAAGTGAAAGCATGATCGCCATTGCTGTCGGTTCGCAGCCATGACCTTCAGTGTCTCCAACCATGCGGTTTCGGTGTTTTGGACCCCAACCCGAAAGACCAGAGACACCTACTCTACCTAATCGCTCTGTGCATTTCTTTATGCCTCGTCTCCACGTCATCTGGAGACTACAGCACGAAACGGCTGCTGTGTGCTGCGAATATACTGCGCGTAACACCACACGGATGCATGTTAATTCTGGGTCATTGCATGCACATATATGTATGCATATATATGCATATATATATATGTATATATATATATATATGTCTTCAGTCCAAATCTTTCGTTCTATATCTTTTCACGTGCACTTGTAGTGTGCGATACATTGGACATACGACCAGGCGATTATCAAAACGTATTACTGAGCACTGT